GGAAAGCAGCGTTTGCTCCAGGCCAGGAGGTTGAGCTTCACTCAGGATCTGTTCACTTGACTGAATTATTTATAGTCTGAATTTGGGTTGCTGTTTATTCTTTTTGCGTAAACTTTCCAAGTCTAATTAGGGAAAGCTATCAATTAGTGGTTCACCTCATTCCCAAATGTTCTCTGTTGACAGCAGTCTGAAAGTCAGAGTGAAGACAAACATGGAAAAACCTGAGAAACATATATCAAATTGTTTCTATCTTTGTGAACCAATACCCTCTGAAGAAAAAGTATCCAGCAGAGAAACAAGAAAAATAATGAGGAATGTATTTACCTGCCCCAAGCCTGAAGAAAACAGCAGCAGAAGTCGCCAGTCTCCACTTCATTCCCAGGCTGGGGGCAGAAGCATCCTCGGGCAGGGCACCATGGGGCAGCAGCAACACCACTGAGAGGGGACTCAGGGCTGGCAGTGGGATGGAATTTCAGGAGGAAAATCCCTGCAACTGCCCACAAGAGCAGTCTAAGGAGAAAATACTACAAAGGAGCACTTGCAACTTGTTTGGAGCATGGCTGGGGGAGTGACAGGCATTTGAAAAAGACATGACACAGCATCAACACCTAAACCTGCTGGAAGACAACGTGCAGTGCTGCTGTGACTGTTTGAACTCCTCACTCCTGCCGTGAAAACAGCCCTGAGTGTCACCAGGAATCCCTGGGTGAGGTTGCAGGAAGCAGTAAAGAAATCCTTCCAAAACTCTCACCTTTTATCAGCAGCCACTCAGATATGGAACCCAACACTGGGGTGACGTCGTGGCCAAAACCCCCTGGAGTCACCCCAGTGGTTCCAGGGAGACACCTGTGACTGGCAGGGCAGAGGGAGGGAGGTGTGGGCAGGGCTGGGAGCAAGCTGAGGTGAGATCAGTCTGCAGCAACCTGGGAAAGCAAAACCGTATGCGTGTGAGGAAGGAGAAAAGGAGTGAAATCAGATGTGGAAACTATTTCCATTCATCAGGATGGTGATATGGCCACCACAAGAGATCCACAAATACTCAGAAGAGCATCAATCCTGTGGAAATTTTTCTGAGCTAAAGAAGAAAATAGCACCAATTACAGCAATGAACAGCAGAGATGTACAGAATAAAATGGAGTTTCTTCTGTGTTAAATACCTTCTATGCCTGCTTTTCCCTCACTTTTAGAGAGGAATTGGGAATACTATAAGCTCCATAATCAAAGGTCCTGGTCAAACACTCGCTCAGAATTCTCTGTCCTACCATAATTTAAGTCTCTTTTTCCCTGAAACAGTAACTCTCAACAAGTCCTGGAAAGATAACCAGACTTCTTGACTGCTTCCATTATTCCACTCTGCCTCCTCTGCTATGGAATACTTTCCTAGTATCAAGGGCAATAAATCAAATGGCCAAAAGCCAGCAATGACATCAGTTACTTACAGGGCTGGGAGTCCCCAGAACAAACTCCTTAGAACAATGCTAATTGAAGACGAAAGCTCTATTGGTAAGGGGGCTTCAGCTGGATATTTTCAAGGATTCACTATAACTGATACAAAACATCTGGGAAGCTCCCTGCCAAGGCCGTGAAGTTCAATGCAGTTATGACCAAGTAACTAAAAAAAGCTACTTTCAAATGATGAGGAGCAGACAAGGAAGTGCTTCTGCTAAGAAATTGTTCCAGTGTACATAAACTCCAACAAACAAGCACCACCAGGTAAGGTCATGTTGCAAGCCCCAGTACTGGAGCAAATCTCCACCTCAGGGGGCATATGGGCAGTCCATCTTTTGGGAACCTCCCTCCCAGGTTGGCAGGATAAAACCCATGTGTTCTCAGTCAGCTCTGAGAAGTGATTTTGGGGAAGGGAAATGTTGTCACAAGCAGCAGAGGAAACAGAGCTATCCTTGGAAGAGTGAAATTTGGGAACCACAGGGCTGTAACTCACCCTAACTCCCCTCTGGATACAAAATGTGCCATATGGCCACAAAACCTGCTTTAAGAGCTCATAAACAGGGTTACATTTCCTCTGGCTGCCAAAAGGATGTAAATATTTTAGAACATTGCCGGGAAAGAGAAGAACAAATGTGCAACAAGTCATTAATCTACAAAGTCATTTGGGTTTTTTTTAAGCATATCTATATAGTTGTCCAAACAAAATAATTACTCAAGGCAGAACCTGTTTTGAACTCTGGGCCCTCAGACAACATTCACACAAATCCCCATGGATAAGGAGAGCACTGCTGGGAGAGGTTTGGGATCTCTAGGAGCAACAGCAACACCTCTAGCAATCTGGGCCTCTGATACCTGGCAGGACTGAGCAGGAGCCGGAGCCAGGAGACTTAACAACCTTTATGATAAGTCAAGGACTTCCACAATCTTCTAGCAATTTCACTGAGTGCTTCCCATCCCAGTGATGGATCAAGAACATCCACCACACTACTGGGGGTTGCAATGCCAGAGACATTAAGAAATTAAGTATTTCCAGACTTTCTTCACTCCACTCTGATGATGGCAAAGGAGCACACCAGGAAAAGAGCTTTCAGCTATGGGAATGGTTGTCTCCAGAGCTATACAGGACACCGATTTTCCTCTGACAAAGTGGAGAAAAAAAAGTGTTCAGTTAAAAACCTGTTTTCTAGCTACATAGAAATAATTCCAAACAGATTTTAAATATAAAATATTTGAAGTTTTGCAACTTAGAAAAATCCTACATGCTGATTTTTTTTCAGTAAAACACCATGTTACTGTAAAGCTGAGATCCAAGAAAAACTACCAGACACCAAACCTTCCTAAAAGTAAAAAGATCAGTGATTGAAGTAAAACCAACATCAATAGTTCACTGAATGGCACTAATTATCTTTACTGCATTCAATCTTCCAGCTGTGAGTTCAGCAAACATTTGAGTTTTAACTTGATCCTTGACCACACTAATAGAAAAATGATCATTTTTCACTTTCATCTTAGAGACCATGCCCTATTAAACTTGGTTTTATTTATTCAATCTACTTGCAAATGATGCCTATTTTTGTATACAGGTTTCTGTCAACCTTTACACAGCAGCATTATGGGCAGCAGCTTGTTAAACTGAATTTTATTAATATGTTGTCCAATGTCAATGTAAACTAAACCAAAAGAATGAAAATGAACCATTCCACAACAATTTTTGTGTTGTGTTTATATGAAAATACTTCCTTTAAACAAGTGTTAAGAGGTTAAGTCATAAAAAAATTATAGTTTGGCATCAGCTACGTTGAAATGCAAACAAGCACACAAAAATCATTAACTCTTTCTGGATTAGCCTAGGAAAACTGATTTCTTATAAAATAAATTACGTTCTACAGATCACAACATCTAACAGTAATGCAAGAGTGAGAAGGAACTCTAAAAACCACCCAAAGCACCACCAAACACTCCAGTGCATATTTACTAGATCTATCATCTCTGAAATTGGTTAACATTTCTAGTTACAAGTTTCTAATAAAATACCAAACTTCACAAGAATTGGTTCAGTTCTTTGCAGAGACAAGTGCTGCTGCAGTTACAGAGAAATGTGAACATTTCTTGAACATCTAAGGCCACGGAAGTGACAATTTCAGCTTCTGCCAGCAGAATCTACCACACACAACTCCTCACTGCAAACAAGACTACCAAACAAACACCTTAAAAAGGGGTTTGCAGGGCTTCATCTTGGACCCCATTTGATGTCTTTTACACCATGAAACTGCCTTTTCAAAGCATGGCTGTCTGCCCACTCAGCATTTAGAAAGGAGTCGTTGTCATCCTCCTCCAGCTTCTGTAAGAGAGGAGCAGAAGGCAGTGAGGAGCACAGCCTGTGGCTCCTGTTGGAGCAGCACAGCTCTAAGGCAGCAAGGAGTTACCTTCAGCTCCTCCTGCTTTCTGTAGTAATACAGCATCATCTCTTTTTGCTCTTCATGACTAACCAGAGGCTCACGCCCTGGAGCTCCTTGTCCTTTCTGAAAGGGAAACGGTAAACGCTATTGACAATGGCATTTGTGATACAGAGCAGGAGCTGCAATAAAGAGAGAGCAAAAACCTTCCTTCAGACAACAGCATTTCCCAAATTTAATAAGGTCCCTGAGAACAGGAAAATAAACGCTGAGAAACTGCTGCTGCATTCACAGATTCCCAGACTGGTTTGGGTTGGGAAGGACCTTAAAGATCAATCAGTCCCACCTCCTGCCATGGGCAGGGACACCTTCCACTAGACCACGTTGCTCCAAGCCCTGTCCAACCTGGCCTGGAACACTTCAAGGGATGGGGAAGGCCCAGCTTCCCTGGGCAACCTGTGCCAGTGCCTCACCACCCTCACAGGGAAGTGAGGGGTATTTTTTAAAGTGAGGATTATTTTTTAATCTCAGCATCTGAATCATGCTGTCAATTTTGTGGACATCAGTGGAAGATGAAACAGCACTGAGTCTATTTTACTTAAACTTCCACTTTAAAAGACATAATAAATCTGTTTTAAGGTCATTTTAGATGTCCCACGATGGGCCCCATCCATCTTTAGCTCCCCTGTTAATACAGGCTCATGATTGCATAGGACTTCATAAAGCAGGGGAGGAAGGCAGTTACAAAACACTACAAATGAAAGACTTTATTTTCCAGGCAACTATCCTCCTGGAAGAAAAGATGCACACAACAAAAAACAGCTGATAACAGGTACTGTCAGCAACAGCAAACAGAACAGTTTGCATGGAGATGAGGGATGCTCTCTAGAACAAAGAGGGTCTGAGGAGGTTTAGGCAGAGAGAAACCACTGAAGTACTCTGCACTCTCTGAAGAGGTCCATCAGCTAATTAAACAGACAACTCTCCTGGGAGGTTGCACTTCAGTGCCTGTTCATCTGCCACACCATTTTTCAGTTTTCCTGAGAGGGAAGAGAAAGCAATTCTGGTCTTCTAAATGACCAACACATAAATCACCTGACTTCTCTTTGAGGGATGCACTGCAGACACCTGTGGCTGACAGGATTTGCCATAAAGCTTTTCAGTTTGTATTTCACCTGTTTTTAAATAACTCTTTGTTGTACTTCACAGAAGTGCTATGGAGCAAGTGACAGCAACTACAGTATGTAACTGACAGGCAAAGGAATTACTAAAGGAAAACTCAGGATATAATACATTCAAACCTTAAAAGAGATGTACAGTTTTAAGATGCTCAAGCCAGAATTAATCTAATCACTTTATACACCTACGGACAATTCTCTTCCACAGAGAATAGACAGCCAAAGGTGAGGAACTTGTGGAGAAAGCTCACAGAAACACTTACTTTCTGGATCTTGACAATGATCGTTGTTTTCTCATTTTTGCCTACATAGTCAGAGAGCAACTTTGTTTCTTGCAGCTGCTTTCCTGCCCACCACAACTGTGCTTCTGATTCCTTTATAACTTCAAGTCCAGCCTGTGACAAATAAACAAGGTGAAGTGTTGGGGGGGGTTGTTTCTTGCTTTGTTTCAAAACCAGAAAATTTTTCTAGGGAAAAAAATATTTCTGGAATTTCTGACATAAATGCCAGTGCATTTTACACTCCTGCTACATCTTTCTCCTCATACTAATCTATGGCATTTTCATTTGTATTCTACCCATTCTTGATCCAATATAAACACTTTGGGCAATAAATTCTCCACAGTGGCCTTAGAAAGAAATGACAAGCTATTTAAAATGAAACCCAGACTTAACTGCACTTTGTATACAACACTTGAAATTAACTTTATTCATTCTATTTCTAGTTAAGCTATTGGTGTGTTTTTACACAAACTATAAACCAAAAAAAACAAACTTGTCATGTAAGTGAAATCAGCCAGCACTGATAAGATGGAGAACAGCATAGAACATGCTTAGCCCAAGGACTACACAGAATGGGAATACATTACTGCATACATGAGTTCCTGACAGGTCTTCTTTATCTTCAAACTCCATCCTAATTGGGTCATGTGGAGGCAATCCCATGGGATACACAATCATCACAGCCCCTCGGAGCTGCTCCAAGGCATCCTGCACCATCTCCAGAGTAACACACACATTGGCCTGAACTTGTTTCTGCAATACAGACAGGATCATTGGTAAATTAAACAAAACTGCAGAAACGCTTTGCTTTGGAGCCAGTTCAAGGTTCAGGTGGTATATCTGAGCAGAGCTAACTGGCTGCACAAAGACATTAAGAGTGAAAATTTTCCCACTGGAATACTGACTTCTGTGTACATCACTCTGGCCCCCTCTGTTTAGCTTGCTTCATTGATTTGTGCAGGAGGCTTTTAGGGCCAACTGCCTGTGGGACACAGGACTCAAACCAGGACACATATGCCCATGGAAACTGACAGGGAGGCTTTGGTTTCAAGCACTCATGAATGTGATTCAAACCAGAAGAATTCAAGTGAGTGCTAGAGCAGGGGCCCAAAACCTAAGTGGAAAAAATAGAGCACATGTGAGCAGAAGTGTAAACATTGACATATTGCACAGCTCACAGAGATCTGTAGGATCAGATATTTGAGATCATTCCAAATCCTACCACAACAGACAGAGGAGAAACATGACCCATCTGGAAGAGAAGGAATAAAGTTTTTGCTCACAGATTTAACAGTTTCAGTGTTTTAAGTAATAAGGTAAGGGACTGTTGCCTCCTTGTGGACGTTCCTGATCTGGTTCACTGCCCAGTATAACTGGGTGCTCCATCTCAGGGGATCAGCCTTTTGGTCTTAATTAAGTACACAGGCACATTTCTTCATTTTCATCATTACAAAGCGATGAACCTTACATACCAGTTCCTAAACTATCCTTAACTTCATTCACCAAAGAAATCTAATCATAAATATTACTTATTTTGTGTTTCAAACTCCTACAAAAGCTGAGACATAACACAGTGCATCTACAGATTTGGCAAAGTGAATACCTGAGACCACGTCCCACCAGGGCATTCCCTCACGCCTGTCTTTAAACACAGCCACTGGGACTGAGCATACACCCAAGTGCTTGTCAAACCAAAGCCTAATCCCTGTCCCATCCCTGGAAGTGTTCAAGGCCAGGTTGGACACATCTTGGAGCAATCTGGGCTAGTGGAATGTGTTCCTGCCCATGGCAGGGGGTGGAACTGGATGAGAGCTTTAAGGTCCTTTCCAACCCAAACCTGTCTAGGATTCTGTGATAATCTGAGAGATTAGAACACATTTTTCACCTAATTATACATAAAACTCCAAAGACTGTGTTAACTCCAGGAGCAGCACAGAATTCAGTTAATTTTTCATCAAAAAGTAAGACAAACATTCGCCCAAAGAACACATCAACAACAAATTAAGAGCAGGTGGATAAAATTGAATGTAATTTAATCATTCCATGTGGGCTTGGCTGCTAGCATTCACCTGGAGTTTAGTATCTGATTCCTTAACCTGTTGGACCAGCTTGCCAACAGCCATGAAGAAAATCATTAACAGAAATGGCTGTTTTTATTATACTATTCACATCACTTTGTGATACTTCTCAAAACCTGTCAGCCTTTGCACTGAAAAAGTCTGGTTTTGTTTCAGCTGCCCAACTCCACAGCACCTGTTAAGAAAGGTCCACATACCACCCGAGGAAACTTACCTTAGAGATTACTGCCTTGGCTTCCTCTATTGTCTTCTTTATAACCTGCTGCATTTTTTTATTTGGAGCTAAAAATAAGAGACAAATATTTCATAGTCTGCACTTACTGTAAAGAAACCAAGCACAGAACCTGTCTGTACTCCACTGTGAGCAAATGAAACACTGTTAAACCATAAAGCAGGAGATACTCCTAAAATACAGCCTGTTTACCAGCTGGATAGTTCATTCCTTTCTCACTAACTCATATTTCTTACTAACTTACAAACCAAACCAGTGTTACTCATGGGACAACCAAACTTACTTTTCCCCAAAGACATCTGACCAATATTTGCCCCATTCCTGGAAGTGTTCCAGGCCAGACTGGACAGGGTTTGGAGCAACTTGGTCCAGTGGCAGGTGTTCCTGTCCATGGCAGGGCATGGAACTGGATGGATTCTCTTTAAGGTGCTTGAAACCCAAACAATTCTGTGACTCCACGATTCTATGACTCGGAACTTCATCTGGGACAAAGGTACTGAGTATAAAGCAACAACCATAATCCCATACCATCTGCAACATAAAACAAGGCTTTTTCCCTGCTGGAATATTGTGCGCTGTACAATAGCAGACAATGAGAGTGAATTAAAGTGAAACAGCCAAACTTGCTACTGGTGACTGTTCATGTGCTGAACAGATATACTGCTTTATAGCTTGTAAATGAGCATCACCCCAGATCCTAACCCAAGATAGAATTCCTGTGTATGTAACTGATAGTTTGGCTATTCCCCTGGGAAAACAGGCTCCTGGAATTGCTACCACTGAACAAAACTGTGACTGCATTTGATACAGTTATTTACAGATGATTTTTATAATTGAGCTGGCTAACACACTGGCCTGGATCAAATGGACGCTTGGTATCTACTCAGGTTTTTTTTCTTCCAGGACACTGATGTAAAAGTGAAAGGTCCACAATTAGGTGTTTGTGTTATATTACAGATTGCCTGTGTCTGCAGGGAAGGAAACAAACATTTACACTTGACTTACCATGACCATTTCTTCGGCCAATTTCATCCTTCCTGAAAACGCTTCCACCACTCGGGACACACTTCTCTGCCCACTCATCCTTTAACTTCAGCTCCTCAATTTGCTCCTCTGTCAGTCCTTGCATATTGTAAGGCAAGGAAATACCATGCTCCGCCAGCTCCTCCATCTCTTTAAGGTGTTTAGAGAACAAGATTAGAAGTCTGTGTTATTACAGACCGTTTACAAAGCCTTTCACATGATGCAGGCTTACCCCCAGCCTTCAGTTTTTAAACACCTAAGTACAGGGAATCAATAATAAGGGATATAAACACACACAGATAGCTAGAGATACTGTCATTTCATTAAAATTCCTACATTTCACATACATATGAAAGTGTATCAAATGATACATGCAGAGATGCAAACCTAGATGGTACTTGCTGGCCATAAACCTTTTCTTTTTGGCATTTTCCTAGCCAGCTTTAGCTGACTGTCTGAATCTCAGAGTGGCCTCGGAACAGTCTGACACTCCACACAGACACTGTGGCAGGAGCACAGCACATACAGATGGGCTGCACTCCCCAGCCAGGCTCACCCAAAGGGAATCCTAGCTCAGGCATCCCACAGTGGCTCAGGAAATGCTGCTCAGAGCTGCTGAACTGAACTCAGCCTAATTTCCACACATCAGTGACTTTGTCCATGGCAAGGGGATGTACTGCATCAAGCATATGGTAGGCAACATGATGTCATTCACGTGTAAGGGACACTGCTGGCCACAAAGGAGCTATGAGAGGCAGAGGGAGCTGGGGTTGTTTAGCCTGGAGGAGGCTCAGGGGAGACCTTCTCACCCTCTGCAACTACCTGAAAGGAAGTTGTAGTCAGGTGGGGGTTGGTCTCTTCTCCCAGGCAACCAGCAGCAGGACAAGAGGGCACAGACTCAAGCTCTGCCAGAGGAGGTTTAGGTTGGATATTAGGAAGAGATTTTTAACAAAAGAGTAGTCAGGCATTGGAATGGGCTACCTGGGAAGGTGGTGGATTCACCATCCCTGGAAGTTTGCAAGATGAGACTATATGTGGTACTTAGTGCCATGGTCTAGAAATGATGGTAGGGTTGAGGACTCAATGGTCTTTGAGGTCTCTTCCACCCAGGTTGATTCTATGACTCTATGATACAGGAACACTGAAAAGAGACTGGACAAGGGCCTGGAGTGACTGGACACATGAGAGTATCTTTAAACTGAAGAAGGGTAGGTTAGACTGGACATTAGGGAGAAATTCTTCCCTGTGAGGGTGGTGAGGCACCGGCACGGGCTGCCCAGAGCAGCTGTGGCTGCCCCATCCCTGGAAGTGTTCCAGACCAGGCTGGACAGGGCTTGGAGCAACCTGGTCTAGTGAAAGGTGTCCCTGCCCATGGCAGGGGGGGAACAGATGGACTTTACTGTCCCTTC